GAAACCTGACACCCTGCCAGGGTTCCCATCAGCCGCTCAGTTTCAATTATGTTTACAGCAATACTTTCTTATATCTAATACTTTACTGACACAGTATTATAAAGAGCCTTGGGCCAGGTGACTAAAACATCTTCCTGATAGATTCAAAAGTCTAATGGTAACGTGCGACTGAAAAAACATGTAGTGAAAGTTAAGTGAAGTGAAACTTAACATGTCTACTGTATGTTAGAAGAAAGTCTTGCCATTGAGCAGAAATCCTGAATAGACACTTATTTGGACATCTGTTTTAAAGCATTATCTAAAATAACTTTAACTTGATCTTGGTCATGAAAATCTAAACACTTTGTGTGCAGAATTACCAGTCAAATCTAATTTCTACTGGGCATTATTCTTCTACCAACAGTGTTGCTCTTTCAGAAAAATCATGTATAATTGAGCACCATGCCTGTCTCTTAAAATGTCTCTGTTTATAGTAATATATTGGGTTTAGCTAGATTCCCATCAGAAAAACGAGACTGAAGTGAAACTCCAACTGTAGGGCCCTCCCATTAAAAACACAGCAGAGTCTAAAATTACCTTAATGGGCTTGCATGGTGCAGGGCTGGAAAAACTGGTAATACTGATCCAAGCTAAGACACATCCACATCATCAAACTACACATTTAATAACCTCTATCTATTTTTAAAAAAAGGTGTGTCAGGACATGAGTTCACTTCCCTGTTGAGTTCCTGGAGATGCTTTCAAATTATCCTCTTCGAAGACAAACAGGCTTTTATCTGAAAAGACTGATGAGGCAACAGAGCAGGATTCCTGCCTTCATGTTCGTGCTCGAGATTCTCGAGTTACAAGTCGGTCTTTGACCCTTTAGACTCAGTCTGAAGTCATGACTTTATGACATTTTGTCAGCTCGAATGGTTTAACACATTCAAGCAAATGTAGACACATTCGCACTCCTTGTGAGGTGTTGGAGTTGTGTGATTTATAATCCTGAACCGCGCACATGGACTGGCATGTGTTATTATTGAAAACCTGATTATAAAGCTTTTACTTTTGCTTTCTATGAAAACAGACAACAGAAGAAGATCAGACGCTTGACGATGCTGCCCCACTGATCTGCCAGACGAATCGTTTTGAACTCTGTCGGCTGCTGTAAGGCAGCAGGGGTTTTTATTTTTCATACCGCAGCCTGTTGGGCGTGTTTGATTTATAACACAGCCCCACCTGAAAGTAGTGGCATGTGTTCAATACGCATGTTTTCAATACATACATTTGTTTCAATGCATACAAGCTTCTGCGTGTTTGTGCACCCCTCTTTCTCCTTTTTTTCCTGGGAGGTCATTGGGTGTGTTTGATTTATAACCCGGTCCCTCCTAGCTGTGTTTTCACATGGATCCAAAAACACCTTACTCCTCTCACTGTGTGGAAAGAATTAATAAAACACACACATTCTTAAACGCAGATCTTCAGGACTTGTCTGGCTTCATTAACTCCTCTCTGACATTATAACACATTACAAGAGGGAAATGCCTCATTCCTGTTATCATAGTCATGAACATTTACATAAGCAGATCTTTTAGTACTCGCGTAACCTGGAAGGTCCATTTCAGTCCCTCAGTGTCAGTTGATAATAGCAATTATCTGCAATAGTTTGCCAGGACTTCACTGTAGACAATGGGAAAGGTGTTGCAATATAAATAGAGTGTGTGCGCTGTTAATAAAACGAAGTGAATTTAATTAGTGTAGTCCTATAAAAATCTTTCTAAACACACATCTTGCCACTTGATAGGCGTCTTTGAAATGCTTACTGGGTAATTATTTTGTAAATGAGGAATTTAAAAATTATTGTTAATATTAGTAGTAGTAGTATTTGTATTTTATTTTGTTTTTTACAAATTAGACTACTACAGCTACAAATGTGTCTTTGGGGGGCGGAGCCAGGGTCATTATCAACTACTATTAAACTAAAATAAAGTATTGCTGTGCTGTGTGTTATCATGCATTCAGATTGTGCAACTTTTGCAGGAATGCATGGTGCTCATGGGAGCTCTAGATGTTATTGTTGCCATCAGTGTGTTTCAGTATCTTATGTTGTAAAAATCATATAAATCTTTTCAGACAACATAAACTGATGAATCTGAGAGGAAGACCATTTTAAAGAGATTTATGGTGCTTCTGTTTTCTGTTATTTTTGTCTCCCCCAATGTTAAGTGCAAATGTAACGTATATTTCTGTATTTCTAAGTCCTCCTTTTAATTTGTTTGTCTCTATGTTTGATTTTTTACATTTTCTTCCATTTCCTCCCTTTTAATATGTTAGTTTTATGTGTCGTAACTTAATTAAAAAAGCATAATGTCACTGGCTGACTCCCACCTCCCTCTCCTGCCTGTCTGATTTTGCTTTGTATCATCTTTAAGTTTTTTTGTGTGTGTTTCTGCTTTAATGTTTGTCCTCCTTAAATTCTCCAACTCTCTATGTTTGTTCAACCCTTTCTTCCCCAGAGAGTCACTTGACCAGAAAAAATAAAGTTGCCTAAATTCTGATTGTGAGCATCTTTCTATAGATACTTTCAGGAGAACTGATGTCTCCTTCAAGATACAAAAATCAATCTAAAAAGAATACATTATTTAAAAAAATTTAAAAAAAAAAAGGAGTTCTGGTTTGTATTAAATTTAATTTCACTTTAAGTGGTTGTCACAAGCTGTTTGCACAGACTAAGTTTTCTGGCTCAAAGGCACTTTGGCAAAAACAAAACAAAACAAGGGAGTCGTGAGGGAGTTGAACCTGTGACCTCTGTTACAATCTGGTCTGTCTGACACTGTACGGCCCCGGTGGGAGAAAAACATGTGGGAAAGTGTTTTAAAATAGTCTGGGTATGAAAATGTGGTTTTGAATGTGGATTTCGCTCATGTTGTTACAAAGATGTTTTTGGGTGGATGAGGTGTTTGTTTTAGCGGTGGTGTGACCCGGGAACCGACAGCTCAGTGGCTGCATGTTTGAACAATATCCTGGTGATTAGTTGGTCTGAACAGAGTGAGAGACACCAGATATTTCCCATAAATCATTCGGATTTGGTCCGATGTGAAATTAAGCTGTTATCAGATGGGAAGCTTTTGTAAAATCAGACCTGGAAAGAGTCACCGACCACCTCACACCATCTTGTTTCCAGGACTGTTTTTATCCGAAGTAGGGTTTAAGGACAGTTTGTTCAACATTTTCATCAAAGTTGTTATCCACACATGTATAAATCAGGCATGCGTTTATCTTCGACGTCTTTTCTTTATTGTTTTGAAGAGCTTTGGTGCTGCTTCACTTCTAGGTAAAGAGTAAAATTGCATGGCTCCTTGCAGGGAAAATTAAGTTATTTCCTTCCAGAAGTCCAGCGGTCTGTACCTATAAAAGAAAAATATGTTTAAGATGTGCTTTACACTTAATGGTCTGGCTGTCCCTGTATGTTTTTATATATAAACCTCTGCAGTCTATATAAACGTCTCCTCAGGGTGGGTTCCTCTTAGCCAGGTACATACAATGGCCTTCACTCTCCAGAGTCAGCACACAGTTAATGCTAGAGTCACACCACTGCTTGAAGACTTCTGCACAACCAAAGTTATGGAAAGGTCTGCGACCACATCTTTAAAGATACTTTGGTGTGTCAAGGTGGTGATAAACTGTGATAAGACAGCATCAGTCTGCTATCACGTTGTGACTGAATGTGGTCAAGTTGGCAGTTACGTCCAATCTGTTTGTGATGATATTGTGATTAACCAGGAAAAATGACAAACCTGTTGCTGTCCACACACAGAAATTTACTCTGAATGATCACATTCGGATTCCAGCCACGTTTTAAGGCAGAAATCTAAACATTCCTCCATAAATATACTGATGTTGCTTTTGCAAGAAGTCACGGATTTAACTGCACCCTTTGTTGAAACCTGTGTTCAGCATATAGGACATTGGAGGTCGTTTGAGTCCCATATTGAAAAGAGACACACTGCAGATAAGCTGCGCTCTATGGTGCAGATGAACACGTATAGATTGAAAAAAAATCTTTGCACTGATTGCTGGCAATGTTAAAATTATATTAATTTAAAAAAATCTGTGAATAAAAAGTCTGTAGAAACAATACTCAGCTTGAGAAAAATGATGAGACACCTCAGACTTGACTCGAAGTAAACAGCAACAGGTGAGTCTTTGTGGACTTGTGGAATTGCAGACTATTCCAGAGGCTTTGGCAATAACAGAAAGCCTGCACGCCTTTAGTTTTTTTTATGTAAGGTTTTGACAGAGAGAAGCTGCAGGGAGAACGACCTCAGTGACCTGATCTGTAACCTGTAGGACGCCGATTCACAGAGGGATAGATTAACATTAATGCTTTTCACTTTTGTTCAGCATTATTACTCTTAAAGTTTTTCGTTTGCTTGTTTGTTTTTTCTAACTGAACCACTGTTGACCTCAATATTCTAATGCATATAATGTGGATATCTGTGTTCATTTGCATATAGTTTGGTGTGTTTTTTGTGTGTTCATAACTTTAAAGTTTTTATAGTTTGATTTGTTCAAAGGTAGTTATTTTTTTAAATTGTAATTTTCTTGCAAAGCTCAATTATATATATTTGAAACATCACACTTTATCCACAAATCAATTCTCAGGTTTGCCAATGAATGAAGCTGTTTATATATCAAAATGGTTACATTTATCTATTTAGTGTTTATTTCTTAACGTCGATTCAGCTAGAGAATATTTTGGGTTTCCTTCAGCTCTTCTCAGGTAAAACACCTTATTTTTTCAGGATGAATGCCTGAATTATGCACTCCCTGCAACTCCCATGAAATGTCACTACACTTTGGGATAAATAAATAAATAAACTGCACTAAATGTCTACCCTGCATTGTAATTTAAAAGTGACAAGTCCTCATCAAATGTCCATACATGACCAGAGAGAGTGGTGAAGTTTACTTTTGATGCACTTTTCAAACTAAAAATGCCTGTGTCTGTATTATAGATCCTGCATCTTCTACAGAGCATGTATGGACATCCCCAGAGGAACAGAGCTGCTGGTTTGGTACAACGACTCCTACACCTCGTTCTTCGGTATCCCGCTGCAGTGCATCGCCCAGGATGAAAACTGTGAGAAAATGTCCCAATAATCTAAGTTGACCTGTCTAGTGTATGTATATGTACATACATGTACACAAACAAAACAAGAATTTGATTTGTTTACTGAATGTGTTTTTCTGTCCAAACTTTGTTAGGTCACACCTTCCAAGTTTGTTGAAGTACAACATTATTTACATAGTTAAGAAAATGTGTTTAAAGGTCATCTGTTTCCTAGGAGGCAAAAGGTTCACCTTCTTCAACTGCCCTATGTTAAACTCAAGCACTAAAAATGGACTCAGATGTAAATTTGACTATGATATCTAAATGTCTGACACGTCGAACATAAGCCAAACCTCTGCCCTGAAAACTGGCCTGCCTGCGTTTAAAATCAGCTGTTTTCTTTGGCCATTCCTCAACTTTTATTACTGACAGTATTTAAACTGGAGGAAATCTTTTGGCCTGCCACAAAAACAATGATACAAATGCATTTTCTTAAAAAAAAAAAAAAAAAAAAAAAAAAATGGGATTTATTTGTCTGAAAAACCAAGCCAGCCAAAACAGGACTGGGGAAAGTCTTTTATTTGCTAAAATGTGGCCACACTGTGGGTTAGTGTTGACACACTTGCCTATTTTCCTGTCCTTAAATCAAATGAAACTAAGGATGTTTTCCATCAAGACTTCTCATTGTTTTCTTCTTTGAAAACCCACATTTCTAAAGCTCTCTCTACTCCAGAGCAGGTTAGGTTCAACGATCAGAGGTCAGCTGTTCTTTTGTTGGCAACAGAAAATTAATTTAGTTCTATACGCATTAATATAGCCTACTATATTACTACTCTTTTACTCTTTTACTGACCTCATATTGAATTTGTTTTTATATTTAACCAGTAGTATCAAACTCTTGAATAGCACTAAATCTGCAGCTGAAAAAGTAACAACTGAAACAGCTGGGAGCAGGTCGTGTTTTGAGTTGCGATTTAAAAGCACGTAGCAGGGCCAGGTTTACACTGTCTGTTATTTAGGCGCAATTTAGATTGTGTACTGGGGTATACTTTTTATTTGTGCTAAAACATTGAATAAAGCATGGCACAGCTGTGGCCCAGTAACCTTTATACGCAGCCTTCACCTTAGAAATAAATAGCAGCACTGAGCACTGAGCACACACTAAATGAATTACCTGGAATTAAAATGTTTATTTTACCACTCTGTGCACTAAATTACTAGACTAACAGCTTCCTGCAGCATTATTAAACTGTTACAATGTGGATTTTTATATTCTTTACAGGTATTTATTACTATTTTATTTTATTTATGCACATAAGAAATCCTGGGTTAACTTAGCCAGTTGATAACCAACTTCGTGTAACCATTTATCTCTATTGCCAGTGTTAGAGTTAGTGAATCCAGATAACAGAATGATACCCTGGGTAAGCTGAACTTGCTTCATAGTAAAGAGCCCAGTTCCAAGAAAGTCTAAAGTCCATCAGGAAACAAAATCCAAAAAACAGACATGGAAGAACAAAGTTTATAAGCTTCAAAGAAAGCATGGGAATGGAAGTAAAGTCAAACTAAAGAAAAGGTACAAGAGACAGAGTATCAAAATAAAACAGGAAATAACATAGCAGGGAAACAGAGAGACAAACACTTGACATCGATACCAGGAGATACTGGGGAGGCTAGGTAAAATCTAGGCACAAAGAAACAGATATAAATAAATCTTAGCACCAACAAAAACCAGAATATAAAAGTAACGCACAAACATAGTGTGAATACAAAAGCAAAGATCCGGCAATCCTGAAAGCTATGAACTAAGCACCATAAACGACCAGCTCGCGGTTATTTTCAACCAAATGCAGACATAAAAAAACAAAATCTTTTTAAAGACCAGTAACAGGTGTTTAGTGAAAAAAAGCTACCTGTTAAACACACCTGTCATGCATGCATGACACACCTGTTCCCCAGGGGGAAATTACTCCTCTGCATTTAACCCATTCATCTAGTGAAGCAGTGGGTGCCCGGGGAGCAGTGTGTAGGGACGGTACCTTGCTCAGGGGTACCTCAGGGTAGCCGTTCAGTGGAGTCGAACCCACGACCTTCCGATCATGGGGCAACCACTCTACCTACTGAGCCGGGGGTGCAGATCAGTCAGAGCCCCTGAGCTATCCCTCAGGGGCTCTGACTGATCTGCACCTACGCAACAACTACTTCAAACCACTTGGCGAGTAGAAGTGAAACTGAGAAAAGTGGAAGAGTGGTCTCCAAAGTGGAGGGTGTTTGCCTTCAGAGTAAAGGTTATATATTGTAATTTAAATATTCTTGTTATCCAAATCTTGTGTTTTTAGCAGCAGCAGAACACCATTTTATCAAAAGTTCACCTCTCCCCCATGAGATAAGAAAACACTGTGAGGAATTGTTGCACAAAAACATGAGAACCAGGACCAGTTGAGAACCTGTTCCACATAGTCACTCTTTCGTAATTGTCTCCAAGCTTATCAGTGTCTTTTATCAGTGTAGGCGTTTCCCTGAACATTGCAAAACAATGATGTTAAACTCATACCAAAGGAGCTGTTGCACACCTTTTGCAGGATTTTGTTTTTGTTAGAACTGTGAAAAATCCCCTCTCCCTGACAGTGTTACGAAGAAATCCTTACCATCCATTTTTATAGGTTTTATTCGCTCAAAGCACAGGTGCATGTATTAATATTATCGCCATATTATCAGGAAAAAGCATAAATATTGTTACAGTATTGGGGTTTTGTCATCGTTTCAGTATCTTTTGGATCATTCCCCCTAGGCGCTTTATATTTAGCTTTAACCTTGTGTCTTTGATAACTTTCTTTTATTTCCACTTCCTGTTTTATTTTGGTAATGGCCTTTCCTTGTTTGCCTCTCTTTGCTTTAGTTCCCATCACTACATAAGTGTTTGTTGTGATCATTAGTTTTGTTCGTTACACCTGCCTCTTATGTAGACACTTGTGTCTATCCTTTCGAACTCATTGGAACAGATGTTTATCAAGAAGGTAACAGTGACTCAGATCCTTTACTATATGCAAGAGTCATGCTTACTGGTATGTAGTTAGTCCACAAATGCCCATTGTGGGCCAGGAAAAACCCTGCTGAATCATATTCAAGCCTCGTTTCTGTTTCTACAGATCTACTTTTCCTACAAACGCACGAAACTGCTCAGGAATCAATACGAGAATTAATCAAAAAGCAAAATCGACGATTATAATAAAGTCAAGAAAAACTTCAACACCCATCCCCATTTTATAGGTGCTTTTTTGGGCAAATACTAGCCAGTTATTTCATGCATTTTACTAAAATACTTAAAAGGTTTCATGTCTGAGTTTTGATTAAATTAGGGGAAATTAAAAATAATGCATAGGCAGCTTAGGTCTTTGTAAACACAAGTAATACAACTGTGTGCGTTTGCAGTTTGCTGC